TTTGTTACGATTAATATTATATATAAATTAAACATCATCATCATCTTACAGCCCTTCACAAGTCCACTGCTGAACATAGGCCTCCCCCAAGGAATGCCACAAAGCACGGTCCTGAGCCACCTGCATCCATCGTGCATCCATACTGCATGTCTCACCAGGTCGTCACTCCATCTAGTGGGGAGTCGCCTTACACTTCGCCTACCGATACGAGGCTGCCACTCGAGAACCTTTTTTCCCCATTGGTTGTCGGTTTTTCGAGCTATATGGCCGGCCCATTGCCACTTCAGCTTACTATTCCGGTCAGTCACTCCGGTTTTACTGCGGATATCCTCATTTTTTAAGTTTATCACGCAGAGAAACCCAGCTACCCAACTACAACTACAGCCGCAGTGAAGGACCACGTCTCAGATCCATAAGTCATCACGTGCAACACACACTGGTTGCACAATCTCGTTTTGAGGTTTTTAGGTACCCATAACCTAACCTAGGCACCTAACGAACGAACGAAGATTTTCGGCAATTTAGTCATTACGATTTTCTTTTTCTTTTTATGATTTCCTTTCTACATACCACACATCCACTACAGCCTGTAAGGTCCACGACAGAACATAGATTTCCCCCATAGATAGCCTTATGCCTTATAAGAGGAATTTCGCCATAATTGCCATACTTGGCAGTTGGTTTGACAACCGCAAATTTTTTATACGTAGTAGAGCCATGCTGCAGTTATATTAGTAGTATAGTTGTAGCACGAATGGGTCGGCTCGACCGGGGAAGGACTACGCTCTCACAGAATACCAGCGTGAAATAGTAGCATAATGCTGCTGTGTTTCGTATGGTGAGTGTAGAGAACCGGAGCCCCTTTTTACTGGAAACGAGGCATTACATCTTAGTCCTCACGGGTGACAACGCATCTGCATTTTGATTTGTAATCGAGGATAGATGTAGTCTATGGGCCGCAGCGGCACTTATGTGACTGTGCGCTCGTTTGTCGCCCTTATCCTTTTAAAAAAAGGCGGTATAATCGTTTCGTTAACACCGGACGTGATATATCCAGCGACGGAGAGCAGTGTTAAAGGTGCAAAACACTGGTACTGTAATTGTCAATTCACCTGCCAAACAATTAAAGCAAATCTTCCTAATGGGAAAGCACCTTTACGGATTGATGAAGATAATAATACAACTGATTAAACTTTTCGACTTCAATTCGTTCATTGCAACCGATTAAATATAGTCACCGCTGAACATAGTCCTCTCTTAGATTGCCTCATAGGGGGAATATCTGCTATAGTTGCCACGCCTGGCAAGCGAGTTGGCAGTTTTTGACACGACAGTCGACAGGCAGTTTTCGACAGTCTGTTACGATACCCACGGGATAGTGGATACAAGATAGTGGATATTCTTACATCGCTACTACATGGTGATTAATATTATAATATTATAGGGCTATAACAATCTCTAATGCGGCCATGAAGATTGAAGACACTCTTGCTTCTTTCCGATCTTGTAAGGGCGCTTAAAATCACTTAAGATCTGGTCTGACACACCAGGCTTATAACATTCTATGACCTTAAACCGGACTTTTGATCGTAAATTCGCTTCAGAAACCCTGAGATTAAGTAAAAATAAATTGCGCATTCTGGCAAGAGCCCTAACTGGACACTGTTGTCTTAAAAAGCACATGTCCATCCTGGGACTAAGCAACTCAAGGATGTGTCGGTTCTGTTCCATAACGGAAGAAATGCCTCTACACATCCTAACTGATTGCGGACCCTTAATGCGCAAACGTAACACTCATCTGGGAAACTATGTACTCTGCCCAGAAGAAGTGAAATCGCTCACGGTTAAGTAACTCCTATTCATTGAAGACATAGGACTTAGCCGTGAACTATAGCCATAGCAGCGATCACAATAGATCTTTTAGGTCGCAGTGATACAGGTTACTTCCCTAGACTTGCATAGCTGCTCGCACATAATAAAAAAGGCGCTTAACGAACAACATTCAATCGACAAAATGACCGATGTTTGATCGCCTATTGACAGCGACGTCTTCGCCTTGTATCGACAACTACAGCACAACAAACGCGGGTTCTAGTTCTATAAGACATCACTTATATATTCTAACATTACTTCCTTATTTACGACCAGCGGCTCTGCCAGATTCACTTGGGTGGGATCTATTAATATGCTGCTATGTAGATTCAAGATAGCCATCAAAGACATTTCATAAATTCGATTTCGCAAAGTTTTTCGCAATAAAATATAGCCTAGATCACTCCTGGCATTGCTGGTCTCCTGGTATCTATTCGTGAAATTTCTTTACAAACGGTTCAGCCATTCCAAGCCATTTCAAGGGTTGAACTGAACAGCCAGACACAATTTTTTCAAAAATGGCTTTTCATATCTTAATGGCATTCAAATAACACCCTCTGATAATAAATAGCAGGTTTTTTTACTTTTATTTTTTATATAGGAAAAGGGTTACAAGCGGCACGCAGTCCACCTGATGGGAAGTGGTTGCTGTGGCTCATAGACATCTACATCTATCCTCGTTTGCGAATCAAAACACAGATGCGTTGTCAGCCTTGAGGACTAAGATGGTACTTTTCCAGTAAAAAGGGTCTCCGGTTCTCTACACTGACCATACGAAACACAGCAGCATTAAGCTGCTATTTCACGTTGGTATTCTGTGAGAGCGTGGTCCTTCCCCGGTCGAGCCGACCCATTCGTGCTACAACTATACAATTAATATAGCTGCAGCACGACTCTACCACGTTCAATTTGATTTAGTCGATCTTTACATAAATCGAGTGTTGTGATCACCGAAGAGATTTAAAATCAGAGTTTATTGAACTGGACATCCTTTTCACTCGTATTCTATCTTAGTCCTCAGAGGTGACAACGCATCTGCATTTTGATTCTTATTCGAGGATAGATGTAGATGTCTATGGTCCATAGCATCCACTTAACATCAGATGGACTTTGTGCTTGTTTGTAGACCTTATTCTATTAAAAAAGATAAAGCTAAGAGAGTATTTAGATAGCTATAGATTTTTGTCGAGTCTTATACCTAAACATCAAACCGAAAGTATATACCTAAACATCAAAATATCATTATCCTGAAAATATATATTCCGGGAACAGGCACGGCGTATCTCTTAAAATATAAACACAAATACGTAGAACGATCGTTCCGATAAATATCCCGCGCTAGTCCTTTTGTCTGTCGAACATTAGAAGTGAAAGTGCTCATAGAAAGCGGTGAAAACTGCGCACACGATCTTACAATAATTAAACCACAAACTCTATGCAGTTTTACGTGCATTTTCTAGTTAGTTAGCACAGTCTTCTCTAGAAAAAAAAGCATACATCATTTAACAGCTTAAACAAGCCTGATTTAGTTCTCTTATTTTTTCAACTTCGACTGTATTATATTCGTGTTTGCATATCGACTGGTTTATAAAAATTATTCCGAACACTTCTTTTCTTTAAATAAAATTTTTAAAGTCCAAATTCTTATTTCTAACTGAAACTCGGGATCGACAACTTCGTTCATCTAATAACTTTATTTTCTTCATTCCTTTTCATAATTTAGTGTTATGTCCAACTCCCTTTACTTTTCAAACAAGGCTCACTTCTTGATAAATACAGGCTTTGTACTTATTTCAGTAACTATAACCATAATAGCTGTTAATATAATTTTTCTTTTTTATACAGAATAGGGTGACAAACGAGTACACAGTCCACCTGATGGTAATTTTTTTTTAATTAAAAAAAATAAAATAAATAAAAAAAAATTAAAAAAATATTAAAAAAAAATAATATATTATAATATTTAGCGGATGGTGTGGCCCGTAGACATCTATATTTAACCTCGATTAAGAATCAAAATTCAGATGCGTTGTCCCCCTGGAGGACTAAGATGGAATGCCTCGATTCTAGTAAAAAGGGTCTCCGGTTCTCTACACTCACCATACGAAACACAACAGCATCAAGCTGCTATTTTACGCTGGTATTCTGTGAGACCGTCCTTCCCCGGTCGAGCCGACCCTTTCGTACTACAACCATAATAATGCTGCAGCGGGGTTCTACCACGTATAATGACATTTATGTAAAAGTAAAGTAAATTTACAGCCTGTAATATGTCCTACTGCTGGGCACAGGCCTTCCCTCATATCTGAGAAGGTTATAGGGCAAGGAAGTGTCCGCCGCGCTGCCCCAATGCGTGTTGGCGAACTTCACATGTCTTCGAAATATTTTTTTCTCATTTTACAGACATGCAGGTTTCCACAAGATGTTTCCCTTCACCGCCGAGCACGTAGTAAATCAGCACTTGCAATTAACCATTTTATTGGTGCCGGCGGAGAACGAACCCGGGTTTCTCGCGTACTGTGAAATTTACAGCGAGCGCTAACCATCTGAGCTACCATGGCTCTTTTTTTTTTTTTTTTTATAGGATAGGGTGACAAACGAGCACACAGTCCATGTGGTAAGTGGTTGTGGCCCTCGCAGACGTTGGTGGAGAGGATTTTAGTGGTTGCGCATTTACGGGTCTGTGAGAGGTGGTCCTCCCCGGCGGCGACCCTCCCTCGCAGCATGGCTCTACCAGTAAAAAATATATGGCTCACATTTATGTACATGTATTTATTTATATTCATCTTTATATTTATAACTGTACTAACGATCTGTTAATTTCGCGAAAATTTTATCTAAAAAAATACAAATTTTCAGATAAAATATAACTTAGATCACTCGTGGCACTGCTCTTTTTTAATCCGTTCAACCATTCCGAACAGACAGATAAACACACAGCCAAAATTTAAAATAATGTTTATTCATCTCTAATTCAAATAGACAAACATCCTTTATTTAGATATTACAGAGTAGACAGACATTTCAATTTGAACAATGATCGGAATTTCAATGTAACACAACTACAAAAAACCTCTAAATTCGCAAGTGTTGGAATCAGGAAAAGCTATCTAAATTCCAGTAAAAACATGGCGCTAGTTTTAAGAAAAGCTATTATACCGAAAAACGTATCACTGCTGCGATGCATCAGAAAAAAGGGTTACGCTACAGCTGCAGCCAAAGGGATTACGACACCGCTCGTGGCGGCTCCTGTCGGTGACACAGCCCTTAACGTATCATGGTGCAGAATGCGCTTTACTCCGCTATACGGCGGGGACTGCAGAGGAATACGTCACTATGCCGATAAAAAAGAAGAGGGACGGAAAGAAGATGCCCAGCCTCAAGCATGTCCATATTGCGCAGGCTATCAGAATACCCCTTACAGTCTCGCTGCTTCATGTGGCCCCCTGTCCACCTTGCGGCCCCTGTCCACCATGCGGCCCCTGTCCACCGTGCGGTCCATGTGGACCATGTCGTTACCTGCCATGTGGGCCATGTCCGCCTTGTGGGCCACCGCCTTGTGGGCCATGCCCGCCGTGTGGACCATGTCCGCCGTGCGGGCCATGCCCGCCGTGCGGGCCATGCCCGCCGTGTGGACCCTGCTGTCCTCCGCCCTGCCCGTGTCCGTGCCCTTGTCCACCGAAATGCCCGCCGAGAAAATGCGAAAACGCAGCATGTCCTACGTGTAGAGCTCAACCGACTCTAGCAGAAGCAAAAGTCGCCAAATCCCAAGAAAAACCGTTAGGAACAGAAGTAGCAGCAGAAGCTTTGAAAAAGCAGACGTCCAAGAGTGATAAACAGTCTTCGCGAGTTTCCAGTAACGCTATCAAAGTGTCGCCATAACCTTCAACCCATAAGTCATTCAATAGTTTACTACTTTACATTATTAATAATAAAAATCTTAATTCGATTTATTTTGATGTTCCTTTGCTTAAAATATACTCCATATGATACATAAAAAAAAATATTATTTTAGTTAAGTTATTTATTATAATGTTAAATATTATATTAATGAATTAGAAAAAAAAAGAAAAAATAAAATTCCAATTTTATTTATATCTATAGAGATATATAATATATTATCGTCAGCATCGTCCAATCATACGAAAGAATTTGATTGATCAGAACATTACAAATTATTATACTCTCTTTTTTTTATATACTTACTTGAATTATTAAAATAACTTAAATACGAACACATAAAAAGAACGACACAAATATTAAAACTTATAGGAATCACGACATGTTTACTGACAACTATTCTTCCATTCTATTCCAAAATAATGGGTTAATATTATATGGATCATAAGATTCTAGCTTTTCAGGACAATTATTCAGCCAATATAATAAAAGCTATTTAAAAAATCAATGAGAGCAACAAAAAACCATACCATGTGCCATAGATATCAGCGATCGTTACTTAAATTAAAAATGTATTATGCATATGCGTCATTAATGTTAGACAAAAAAAATCATTTTTTCTACTTAGATATTAAAGTTCACCGAACTTTAAAATTAGTACTGTGGCGGTCGTCGCGTTAAACACACCGGAGCCTAAATCACGCTATCAAAATTCCGAATCATAAACAGTATTATAGAACATCTCCGAACTATAACACAGAGTGTTGGCCGCTCCCCAGGCAGAACACCTTGCCCGGCGGGAGATTTCCCCTTTTCCTTCCACATCGCTACAGTACCTACTTAATAAAATAGTTATTGCAAATGTACGGAGTACGGTGAGGTCATCCCATTGTTAAGCTAGGTTTTCGCTCACAATTAAAAGCAGTAAAATAATTGGAATTTATACAACCTAGTTTGTAGGACTCTTTAGCTACGTAGGAGTCCGCCTGGGTCATTACCCTCTTACCTGTTTTTTCCGCAAAATAAAGGTGTATAGTTACCAGTATAATAAAATAATTAATTACAGGCTGTATGACATTCCAACCTAATCCGCAAAGGTAAACCCAGCTATAACCCTCTTTATTTAAAGCTGTTTGCAAGTTGCAAGTCCATGGACTTTCTCACTGTCCGGTAAACTATTAGTTCGTTTTTTACCTCGCTTTTATAAATAAAACATATTGTGACAGCCCAATATTATTATTAATAATTAAATTCAATATAAAGGGGCATCAAAAATAGTCTTAATATATATATATATATATATATATATATATATATATATATATATATATATATATATATATATATATATATATATTTATGCAATAAAATCACATTAATAAAGTTAATATAAATATATATCAGACATTAGACCAATAACATAGTAAATTAATGGCAAAATATTGTCTTCCATAATAAATAAATTTATTTAAGGCTTGAAAAAATATTTAAAATAAGATAATTAATAGAAATACAAGTTGAAAATATTATAAAAATAGAGATAAATAACATTTATAAGATAATTAGAAAATTTGTTAAAAATTGTCTAAGTCTCCAAGACTTAGACAATTTTTAACAAATTTTCTAATTATTATTAATAATTTAGGAGTTCATGTATAAAAGAAATTTCCTAAGTTGTGAAAGGAGTTCACGTATAAAAGAAATTTTTCTTAAGTTATGGAAGGTGTTCATGTATAGATGTCTTGTATAGAGGAGCTGCCGGAGATACATATCTGCAGTTGTACATATATATGGGGTGGTCGGGAGCCCGACTGCCTGAAGTACTATAGCACAATGCCTAGTCCTATATTAGGGACTTATGATAATAAACTCAATGATACAAAAGCAATACTATAGAAGGTCTCCATGATGAATATGCATTGCCATAGTAGGGTCTTGGGTTCGAACCCTATATATTAATGACTTATGAAAGTAAGGTCTATGATACAAAAGCAATACTATAGAAGGTCTCTATGATGAATATGCATTACAATAGTAGGGTCGTGGGTTCGAACCCTATATATTAATGACTTATGAAAGTAAGGTCAATGATACAAAAGCAATACTATAGAAGGTCTCTAAGATGAATATGCATTACAATAGTAAGGTTGTGGGTTCGTACCCTATATATGAATGACTTATGAAAGTAAGTTCTATGATACAAAAGCATTATTATTGAAGGTCTCCTTGATGCATAAGTATTGTATGGGGTGGTCGGGTGACCGACTGCTCCTAGTACTGTAGCAAAATGACTAGTCCTTATTAGGGACTTCAAAAGGAATATTATGGTGGCGTGTGTGCTGCTTCACGAGCAATTGGTCCGAGGTAAACTTGGACTCGCTAACCGATGTGTCCTAGACATATCATCTTAGTGCTGGTGGTAAGCAGGTTTGTTGTAGCAATACGGCTTTTTCCGTGTGCCTCCCCTACATTTTTTTAAATAAATGTAGGAGAGCGAAGCCCTTGTATCGGGTATTTTGTATAAATTTTCCGAGCGGGAAGGGATAAGTAATAATAAATTAATAATGTAAACCTGATACAAGTGGAATAGGGACGTTTTAAGTTCTTAACCTTTCTCGAGCCCTGTCTTCGTGAACCCCGTTCAATAAGGCACTACCAACAGCTTTCAACTGCTCTAGTGAATATTCATTCTTCCAAAAGACACCTAAAAGTACTAAGTTACTAAACAAACACAACGTAAATAAGGGTCCTAACTAAGACGATCACGCCAAAATATTACAAACGGCCTATTTTTAAACCTTTAGAAAGATCGTTTAGAAAGATCAAAACATATTTTATTTATCCTGGTCGCAAATATATAATTTTATTGAAAAAGGGTAAATTTATTATATATAATATATTTAATATTTAATATATTTATTATTATGTGAGAGGGGGGAAGCGTTACAATATCAATATTCGTTGCTGACGTCGAGAGCAAGAAAACATTAAATTTATCATTTCCCGATTACTAGCTCTTTTTTTTTCATCAGAAAATGAATTGTTTTTGTGGTTTTCCATTAAACATATTTTTTTTTTGATGAGATTATAAAACCGAGGTAAAAACGAACTTACAGTTAACCGATGAGTGGCTAAGTGCAGACCATGGACATTGTAACTAATAATAAGAGTATATGTAAATACTAAGAAATACACTTTGTTTAAAAAAAGTTCTAGCTAGTATAAGTGCGAACAGTAGGAAGGCAACTGATTTTAGTTGGATTTAAGCAGTATTTTTATTACGTGGTAGAGCCATGCTGCAGTTATATTAGTAGTACAGTTGTAGCACGAATGGGTCGGCTCGACCGGGGAGGGACCACGCCCTCACAGAATATCAGCGTCAAATAGTAGCTTAATGCTGCTGTGTTTCGTGGTGAGTGTAGAGAATCGGATATCCTTTTTACTGGAAACGAGGCATTCCATCTCAAGTCCTCACGAATGACAACGCATCTGCATTTTAATTCGTAATCGAGGCTAGATTTGTGCTCGTTTGTCATCCTATCCTATAAAAAAAGTATCAAAAGCTTGAAATAAATGATTTAAATTTTATATTATTGCATAATTAAGCGTCAAGAAACTAAATAAAAGCAACATCACCTATTCGGCAGCATACCGACAGCAGAGTAAAGTCCTTACTCCTTACTCTGTGGCGACAGCTTCCGTTTTAGTTGCATGCATCAAAGAGTACATTTTAAATACTGGAAATTTCACCAATGCAAAAGAAATTAAAAAAAACTTCAATTAAATAGAAGAAAAAATATAGTACTTATTTTTGTATTGCGTTTTAAGAAATGTGAAGCATTATTTAAAACTTATTACTTTACTTTCACGCTCAACGAAAACATCCATAAAATTAAAAAGAAATCATAATCAAAACGCAATTGTAAACATAGTTACAAAAAACGCTATTCTTGTTTGGCCTAATTGTTTGAACTTTCGCGCAATATTTATACCTATTACAACGATGTAGAGGTGACTTTTTGTACATCTCACAGCTACATCAGAGATCATACAATAGTAACAATGTCTGAGAGAATGTGAAGAGTAGATCATGGTCAAATAGAGACTTTCACTGCTTTCACTGGCCTGGTTTCATTTATTGTCGTAGGTCGAGTCGTTGGCCTTCAGGGTGACTCCACTTTTGGTTTTATCTGTCACTTTCAATAATCTATGTCATGGTAGAAAGTTTTGACGAGGACTTTTTAGGGCGTTGAAGGTAAAAGTGTAAGAAAACCTTGTAGCGATGAATGAACTCGGCTCGTCTTTGACTTTCTTTTAGTCCGGAATAATTTTCTTAAAAATTTTCTTCTGATATTGAAAGTTACCATTGCGTGTTTTACTTAAGGGAACGCAATTAAGTTTGCTATATGCATGCACAACAAAAGGTCATATTTTAAATATTCTAATAAGCAAAGGTTTTCGCTATCTGACAACTTTCGTTGTGGCCAATTTAAATATTTAAACATAAATTTTATATATTCACAATTACAAATTTTCTGGCGTAATAATAACTGATAAATTAAAAATATCATAAAAGTATTTAGGTTTTTTTAACCTCACCTGCACTGCACTTGACTGTGGCGTAGAGGAGGGACCGGCCTTAGAGGGTTAAAACGAAATGTCCTTACATTATCAGCCTATTTCCAGCAGTAGATAAACAATTTAATGAGCTTAATCTGTATCTATATGTGAATGAAATAAATTTAAGTTATTAATTACTATCATATAATTTAAAGATTACAGACAGCTGTGTCCCTATTTTCAAAGCCCATAAATTATTAACTTTTCC